TCTTCCTATTTCTGAACTCTCCACTTAGATCAGTCTTGATTATTTATCATCAGTAATATGTAGTCGAGATTTTTATGATGAACCAACAACTTCTATGAGTTGGAACTAGCTTACATCTGTGGTGATCAAATTTTATGGCACAATTTGTATGATGCATCAATACAAAGAACTTTTTTGATTTCGAATAAGTAGTCAACTTTGAATTGAAAAGGCTTTCATAAGTTCTTTATTTGTTCACAATGCTAAACACTACCTTGTAATACGGTAAAGCTGTAATGAACAATACAAACACGACTTACAGTCGCAAGACTCATAACAAAGTAATATTCAATTCCTAATTCTCTTTGAATCGTATTCGTCATTCCTCAGATAGCGCAATTACTATTTCTCACGATCGTATTTTTTTAATTCAAAGAGAACAATACGGATGCCCTGAGGCAAGGCTAGATATCACCTCACAAACTATCAAGTGTTAGTCATGAAAACAAAGATGGAATGAAAGGAGGACAAATATTGCCAAGCAAAACGTCGTTAAACTGTACAAAACCACTGGAAATGTGAGACCCGTACTTGTTATTAAATAATCTAAATAATCTCACAGCAAGCATAAGTAAAAGAGGCAGGTGAACAATCACAATAAAAAGACTATATTGGGCTCATCAGTAAGCATTGGGCAAAAGATAGGAGATATAACATACATTGAATAGAATGTAGAGAAGTGAAATTTGGCCATTATTACGCAATTTAACATTTCAAAAATATACGTCAATCATAAACATAAATATACTATAAGACTATATTGAAGATTGGGTACGTGCATTGGAATCCACATGCGAAGTTTTTTCGCGATTGATACGCGAGATAGGGCAGAAGGAAAACCGTCACGACCCTGTCAGAACATCAAATACCTCTAGTTCATGGATATCGAAACTGCGGCTTGGCACCAAGGCTGGACTGCCGAACGTCCGACATGCTGACGACATTCCATGCGTAAGTTCCTCGGATATACGGATAGCATCCCCATCACCGGAACCAATCTAAACAGAAAGTGTTGCAACCGCTACAGAGAAGAAGAAAGTATGTTCTTACGAAAAAGCAAAAAGGAACTTCCAAGACACTTGAAAAAACTTAAAAATCCGCTCAATTCACTGCTGTAAAACTTTTATTGAATGATACATTCATTATTTTGTCGATTTTCGTCAGTTTCCAAGAAAGCCTTGTCCCACTTGACTGAATGCATCTGTGCCACAAGCGCAAAAACTAATCCTGCTGATTGAAAACAGGTAGACAGAGTAAGCTACTGTACTTCGTAGACTTCGCTGCCATAAAAGCTATGCGTGAAGGGCTGTTAATCCATTAACTTTTATAGTTTCTACTTTCTAACTAGCTTTCACTAACTTTTATACAGCGAGAAATCAAAAACTATCAACGAAAGATAATGTACTTTGGAGACACTAGAGAAGAGTACTTCGTGTTAGACTTCGCTGCCATAAAATCATGTGTAGGGATGTTACTATTAACAGCCCTTCACACTTAACTTCTATGCAGCACCTTTCAAAAATATCAACAAGATAATATACCTTAATTATCAGCGAAAGTACTTACTACAAGTAATTTCTCTCCAGCGGCCATGAACATTTGTGGGCAAGCGTCTGGATGCTCGTTGTTGTTGCCAACCCATCCATAAATGATGGGTAGCTCCAGCTCTTCTTCAAGAACCCAAACAAAGGATTCTCCGGTTCCGAAATACCTTGAACACAACAGATAGAACTTGAAATGATTGGAGTAAGAAAGGTTTTTTTAACTCTTAAATAACGGACTTTGACTTCGATCGCTCCCGTCGATCATTCCGTTCGGCCCACGAAGAGCTGCAGTACGCTCCGAATTTCTCACCTGTCGTTGTCTTGATCAAAAGGAGTGTCTGCTCTGCCAGATCAATCCTAAGTTATCATAAACTAGCTTGAATAAGCCTTGCCAAGGACCGTAAAATATCCTACTTGCTCCAAAGGTGAGTGAAGCTAGCACCGTCATTGCTCAACCGAAAGAGAAGCTGAGGTGTTGCCAGCTGAAGTCGAGGTGGTAGAGCTGACATGATTTCAGCAGCAGCGTCTGAAATACATTAGCAATAAAAAGGTAAAGCATTGAGCGACTATTCAAAAATTCTGGAAATTTTTGATAATGTTGAGAAGCAAACCAACAGTATTTTAAATTTTTAAGTTCACAAATCAAAGAAGAAGTTTAACAAATTGTTCCAAAAACCTTGGTCAACAATAGCCGATGAAAAGGGCTGAGTAAACAGATGACGGGCTCTTCTAGGTAGAGCACGCTTTTGTGATTGCCTTCGATTTACATCCTCTCGTACCTGAAATTATGCAGATTCCAACTTCTCCTGACGAACATTAGATTTCAGCATGTCAAGAGATAATAAGAGAGACGCAAAAGTTTGACATAATTATCCTTTCTCACCTTATTCTCAAACTGCGTTTGAAGCCGCGATATAGTCGAGCTTTGAAGGTTCCTAATACGGACAGCCGTTTGGATGAAAGTTTCTGTGGAGACCTGCATAAATTCGAGCCAATAATGGACACAGATCGAAAATAGATTAAAAAAATACTTTTCTTAACAATTCCTTCTTTACCGGAATCATTGAAAAGTTTAATAGAAAATATGTATAGAAAAGTATGTGATAGTGACTGAGTGGATCATGGCTCATTTAAAATTAATGATTACCTGCATTTGCTGGGCTGTGTTTGCCAATTCCAACTTCACAGCTTCTATACGCTCATCTTGTGATTTTCCATGCATATCATCATGAGGGCGATTCTATAATGTCCTGAAGGCTATAGGAAAGAGAAGTTCCATACAAGAATGCAAACAAACAATAAAAGACCGTACCTTTAACGACTTTGCCCATATATAAACAATAGCTATCGCTGCTCTAATGACGAATTTTTGACCCTCCACGAGGTAACAGTCGATCACTCGGACTACATGAGTGAAAGGAAGGCCACTGAAGATCCAGGAAAGCCAGTCGCGCATCTATAGAACGTACAGTCTATATAAGAAGGAATATTCTTAATGCTTTTGCACAATCTGTGAATACAAAGCATTTCTGAAAATCGGTTCTAGTTTAAAAATGACGGAAATCTAGTATAAAAGAAAGGTAATGTGAGATCAGTCGTACCATTATTTCATAAGTTTTACAAAAAGATAGGAGGAAAGCCCACCGTTTTTACCAGGACTAAATCGTCCGCCGTTCCAACTTGCCTTTTTAACATTGCATAGGCATGTGCTTTGTGCTTTTTTACGAGAGACAGAATCGTATGTGACGAAGCGGCCCACTGTACAGGCGACGTCATCAAGTAGCCCTTCAAATACACAAGTCAAGAAAAGAGCTTAAATATGTCAAAAGCGATGAACCTTAGAAACTAGCAAATGTTGTACGCAAGCAAACACATCTTCGTCTTCTAGGTAGTGCAACATCAAAGCACACAGCGGATAAAGCATCTGAATTATAATAATAAAATATCTTTGTGGAAATTGACGAAGCCAAAGACATACTGGTGCGGAACTAATTTCTGGTCGTAGATGCTCAATAACGGTAAGCAAGCGAAGAAGTCGTACAGCCCCTTGCTCATTTAGATTGAAATTGTTCACCACCACACCTTCTTCACTCAGAAATTGAGGTTGGTGTGATTTCGCTGTAATTTTTTTTTGGGGGGTTGAAGGAGCCAACACCGAAAAAAAATGGAGCTAAAACGAACTTGCTTCAAACTGTAAGTCATTTCAAGAAGAAGCTGCAAAGCTATGAAAAAAATGTCCATAATGTGATAAAACTTCCTTGAACAAAACTAATGGAAAGCATTTATGGTGCTTTGACAATTCATTCTACGTGATGTAGCAAAATGGGTGTTTGAAGCTCAATTACTCCCATGTCAATAGTAATCAGACTGTAGTGCAGCAATTTATCCTTTGGGATTAGATGCTATTATGTTAATAAGATTATCGCAAAAAATAGCAACTTACTTCCGCTCCTAACAGTTTCCTCAAGTTCTGTTCGATACAGTGATTTACTGCTGTCATAATCTTTGCTCTGACATAGGACTCTCCACAACTCTCGTCGAACCTCATGTCTTATCGGCCACTCCGCTTTTCTAACAATCTTCTTCACCTAGAAACCCAAGTTACGCCACAACTTCTTTTGTCTCCAGTCACCTGAGACAAACTCAAATCCCTACTAAATTAGGTGCGTCTGCTCTCTAATATGTAAACACACTGATCTGGATGGGTCTGAGAAAAACAACAAATATTTTTGCTTAACGTACTAACGTTCCAATACGTTATCTGCGAAAACGCGCGCTGTTGACACTAGGTGTCGTTCTCTGAGCCTCTTTGTTGGCTTAACCCGAAAGTTTTCAGGTTCTTGAGAGATGTCTGAAAGAGTGCAAACACTCCTAGCACTTTACAAAAATCAGAGAATTGCTTTAGGAGTAGAATATAGAAAAAAATAGTAGCTAAGTAGCATTATATAGCTCTCATAGCGTGTTCAACGAAAAAAAAAACGAACAAGGAACGTAAAAATAAATAATATTCTCTTTTGTTCTTTCTTAAGATTATTTCGTTAAAAGCAAAAACTTTTGAATACATGTCCCCATGAATGCGATGTTGCTCAAAGTCACAAACTGCACATCACAAACCGCAGCTATTAATGTAGTGCCTTACTACTGAATCCAGTGTTGCAGAGATTCATTGAAGACACCTATGAAAAAATGAACCAATAATCAGAAAATGCAATTGGATGAGTCAAAACTTCTCGAAGAAACTAAGCAGATACTCACTTCTCCATCGATAAACGAATCCTGCCAAAAGTCAGACGATGATACAGAGGATTCGGAATATCCAGAATCAGTGTACGACGACTCCGAATCGACACTGGTCGAATAGAAACTGCCCAATTTTGGTCTACTGTTCAACATAGACATGCTGAGAACGGCTAATGCGATACTTGTCGAGGAACGAAGGAAACAGGCGGCAATTAGGCGATAACCGATCAATAAGGTAGGGATAGATAATGCTCCTCGATGGGGTCGGGATTCGATACCAGGTAGGTAAATAGGGTCGAGGGGGGTTGGGGGGTGGAACCCGTTTCGGAACAACAGGGAACGCAAGAGGTGGAGGTGAGGCGGAGGGCGCGCAAGAGCTGGCCGGAAACACTCCGGACGGGTGAACCGGAACTGGAGGCACAGAAGCAGAATATGCTGAAGCGGTCAAACAAAAGG